CCTCTCCCCCTCCTCACCCACCCCACCCCACCATCCAACATTGCAGGACGAGGATGATGACTACATGCACCCCATGATGATGCACGATGGGGTGAGTAATCCCTCCCTGCCTGAATGGCAGGGATGCTGAGGCTCGCTGTTGAGACGGTCCTGTATTGTTGCGCTTTTAAGCTGCAGCATAGATTTCAAACTAGCTTTTCAACAGGACGCAGCCAACAACAGGGCCCAATGCCACCCTGGGCAGTGGAAAACCCCCTCCCTCACACCACACTCTTGTTTGTGTCATCGCTTACACCTGGCTTTTGCGATCAACCGTGCCGCCTCGCCCCACGCCCGCCGTGCTCCGCCGCGCGCGTCATCCCCCCAGGCCGAGTACGACAGCGATGACGAGGATGAAGACAGCGAGGATGATGAGGACGAGGATGACGAGGACGAGGACGGGCTGGGCGGCAACCCCTGGGCGGCGGCCAGGGGCCTCGGCAAGCAGCCGTCCGCCGTCATTGAAGAGATCGATGACGACGAGGATGACCGCAAGGGCAAGAAGGTGCGTGCACGCATGCATGGTGCGCTGCTGTCGAGGTGTGGATAGGGGTGTTCAGGTAGACTGACTTCTGTCAGTCAGTCAGGGTGTGTGCATGCGTGGTCGTGGTGGTCGCAAGCGCATAGCAACCTGTGCTGTTTCTTGTCTGGCTCGAGCGCGATCGGAAGGATCGAGGCTGGACCGGGTCCGTAGTGCTTACTGTCGCGACCGACGACAGCTGCATGCCCCCAGGGCAGCAAGCTCACAGCATGGCTGTTAGGTTCTGGCTTTCATTGTGCTTTTGATTATTGAGCGTCTCAAGCCGCGCAGGTGCCCATTACCCACCTTTTGCATCCTGTGATGTTGCTCGCCCCACTGCAGAACCTGAAGGCCCTGCCTGCCCCAGGCGCGAACGGCAAGCAGCAGCAGCAGCAGCAGCAGCAGCAGCAGCAGCAGCAGCAGCAGCAGCAGCAGGCGGTGCAGCAGCAGCAGGCGGTGCAGCAGCAGAAGAAGAAGGCGCAGCAGCAGCTAGCGGAGGAGTCTGAGGACGAGGAGGACGAGGAGGATGACGAGGACGAGGGTGAGGCCCTTTGCTGGCATTATGCACATGGGTGCGGGTGATGTGTGTGCTTATTCCTGGAAGGGGGTTTTCCACTTTAAGTGCTCGACGTTGGGTATACCTTGGCCTCTGCCACCCCCTTGCATCCTTTGCAGATGACGAGGGTGAGAGCGGAGACGATGAGGGGGAGGACAGCGAGGAAGACGAGGGGGAGGAAGAGGAGGAGGAGCCGCAGGTTGGTTGTGTAAGGGAGAGAGAAATCCAGGGAGAGAGGGTGTGCGTCCGTGTGTACATGTGTGCATGCGTGTGTGCGTGCGTGGTTGTGTGCGAGTGTGCGCGTGTGCTTGTGCATGTGCGTGTGCATGTCAAGGGGACTGAGTTTGGTCGAAGTGAAGACTGGCCAGCTGTATCAGGATGCAAGTGTTCTTGCGCAACCCTACGCGTGCGGGCACATTCCTGGCCATCTGCTGCAGACTGCATCCCTGGTTCAGCTGGCTCTTGAATCCTGTTCCTCCAGAGGTTGACCTCGACCACACCATACCCACCCCCAAAACCTTTCCCCCACTTTACAACCCTCCCAACACCTTTCAAGTATCGCCCTTCTTTCGTCCACAAATAATATTGTCCCACCGTTCTTACCAATCCTGACCCTGCAGCCCAAGACCAAGGCCGGGGACAAGCGCAAGGCGCAGGCTGACGCGGCCCAGGCCAGCAAGAAGCAGGCGGTTGGCCAGCAGCAGCCCAAGCCGGCGGTGCAGAAGGCGCAGCAGCAGCAGGAGAAGGCCCCGGCCAAGGGGAAGCCGGAGGAGAAGACGCCGGCGGGCAAGAAGCCGCAGCAGGCGGCGGCTGCGACTACCGCGGCCCAGAAGACGCCGCAGCAGCCGCAGCAGAAGGCGTCTCAAGGGCAGCAGCAGCAGCAGCAGCAGCAGCAGGCCAAGACGCCGCAGTCGCAGGCGGCGGCCGCAACCCCAAGCAGCACAACGAAGGCCTCTAAGCCCAGGTGCGTTGCGGGGTCGCTCAATCTGCGTCGCAACACCGTCCGTGTCTCATTTGCTGATCATGCAGTGGTAATTGCCTCCGCCCCTGAATCTTGATCGCAAGCCAGTCCATGTGCCCTGAAATTGCATCTCATTGGCTCCTTTTGACCCATCCTGCTCTGCCAGCCCGTGCCTTGTGTTTGCACTAGCTCATCTCTCGTGCTGCACCAGCCGCGGCTCAGTTCCTGAACCAGCCATCCGCGTACCCCGCAGTGTACCCCACAACAACACAACACTACCTGACACCAAGCATATACGATGTTGCCACATATTACTTAATATTGCAGGGTCTTTGAGAATGGATTTGAGATCCACGACCTGAAGATGGGGCAGCCGGACGGGCGCCTCGCACGCGCGGGCAAGCGCGTGTCCATGCGCTACGTGGGGCGCCTCAAGAAGGGCGGCAAGGTGTTCGACTCCAACACCAAGGGCAAGCCCTTCTCGTTCAGGCTGGGTGAGCGGGTGGCTTGCGTGCGTGTGCATGTGTACGGGTGTGTTTGTCAATCATACTTTACATGCTCAGCTGTATTGGGAAGAGGGGCTTATTTTCACGTGAAACAAGTTCGGGTCCCAGGGAGCCAGATGGGCAGCAGTTCACCTGCATGTGGACAGGTGCTTGTTTCTGTTGCAGGGAGTCATGCCGATCCGCAGCTCTGCTTGAAGCAACCGTGCCAGAAGGCGAGCAAGCCCACAAAGTTGGTGAGCATAGGCTACGCAACAGTGACGACACTGCTGATCCGAACTATCGGCCCCCGTTCCACACGCCTGTTGCCTACAGGTGTGGGCGAGGTCATCAAGGGTTGGGACAGGTGCGTATAAATCTAGTGGGGTTTGTAATTGGAACTGGGTATGGAGTTTGGAGGCGGGGGTTCGAGCTTAGGGATAAAGGTGGAGTCGGGGTGGGGGTGGTGTGGGGTCACGGCCGGCCATGGGGAAGCAAGAAGGAGAGCGCGCGCAAATTTGGGGGAGCAT